GTGCGCGGACACTGCCTCTAAGGGATATATTGGCCTGCTCGGTAACAGTATTCCAAGATCCCAGGCATGGGTTATATTTAGTACTAGGAAATTTATGCGAGAGGCTGAAGTTCAATGCCACCATAATACTTTTATAGCGCCGAATTTAAGAAATATTGCGGGCGATACGATAATGACTGACTATAAATTGTACACCAACAAATTTGTGAAGATGAATAGACAGGCTTGGCACCTGACTCAAGGAAAAACGCCGTGTAATGTGATGGATGTGTCCCATAACCTCCCCTCGCATACCCGAAAATCGAAATGGCGCCCTTTTGCAAAGAATTTACTGTTACAGCAAGAGCTTCAGTTAAAACATCAACAAAATCTGAGAACAAACATGTGGCAAAAGATGAAGGGATAAGCAGTGCATATAACACAAAACAAACAATAAAACCATAGCATACTTTTGAGAACTCATACGTGGGTAAAATTCTCAAAAATCGTACCTTTTCTTCTTTTGTCGCTTGTATTGACGCCAACAGCGCGTCTCTTTTCGCTTCGTTTGCTTGTGATTGCTTGATTAGCTCGGTGAGAACAGTATTTTTTGAATTGTACTCAGCCAAAAGCTAAAGAGTCAAAATATCATCAGCGGAGCAAAATAAGAAGAAGATATTTCATACCGCATTTTCCTTCCTTTTCCTAGCATCTTGTTCGCTACGGAGTGCAGCTTTGCGCATTTCTTCACGACGTATCTGAAATGGTCACAGATGTCATGAAACAAAGATAGCCGAGAATTTTGTTCTCCGGTATCTTTGTCTCATGACATTTGTTGACTATATGTGTTGACTATATATGTCGACTGAAGTAAAAATGAAGATGCAAATGGTTATCGCATGCAAATTTTGTATCGAGCAAACTACCTGCTCTTGACCATCCTCTATAGCTTTGCGAGCATCATCATATTCGGCGCAAGTCCTTTCAAATACTTGCGAAGCTGTCTAAAAACACTAGAAGATAGCGCAGCAATCAAACAAAGAAAAAAACGTAGATTTTCCAACTATAACTTACTTTATAGTAGTTAGCATAGTCAGCCATTACAGA